ATGGCTCTTTAGTTTGCTGTATTTTTTCACCATTGTAAACACGACTGCAGTGAGCATCCGAGTACTGATATCTTTCAGAGGGTACGGGTTACTTTCTTTGGCCCCATTCTTTGAGAGAATAATGGGAAGGAAAACTGGGACCCTCAGTTTGTTCCTTTTTTTTATAGGAACACAAAATCTCAAGGTCATATTATAAGATACCAAAATAAAAAACAACAAGTGTAATTTTGACACTAAGCAAAATCTCCTAAAGCCTCTGTCAGGAGAAGGGGAATAACTGATTAGGATCTAATTCCTTGAGGTTTTCCTTAAGGAACTGTTACCAGGAGTCTCCACTGACATGGCAACTCTGCCTTGAATTGAGTTAGTGGAGGATTTAAATCCCAAATTACTGAAGTTAACAAAGAGAATGCAGCAAATCCCACGGTAAAGATCCCCCCAGGAAAGGAGCGGCCCAGCAGCATCTGAGCTAGGCCCTGCCCAGGTGGTCAGCACGTGACAGTCAAGAGGGACGAGGAATCTGCACCAACAGTCATTTTTCCTGACTTGATTTGTGTACAATTAGTGCACAGGGGGGAAACCAGTGTTAAGATGATCTTTTCTGTCTTCAAATCAACATGTTAATAAGACAATAGGACAAACTTGTTTTTCCATCATTTTGAGGACCTGTAGAAAACCTGAGCAGTCCAAAGAGAGAAAAGTCTTCAACAACCAGATACACTCCATAAACGAAGTCATTCTTTCCAATTCTGCTGTATGGGAAAATATTTTTTTCCCTAATGGATATATGACTTTGTGTGGAAAGTTTTAAAAATACACAGCAACATCTATATTTATTTACTGTTTTGAGTGCCTCGCAGGAGTCAGGGTTACCAGAAGGAGAAAAGTCACACATCAGTAAGCCCTGTGGATTCAATGAGCACCCAAATTGGAAAAAAAACTTTAATAATGGCCCTGAAAATGATGTGGAGCCCAGAGAAGACACTCAAGCCCAACTCTGTCACACAAAATGCCACAGCTGGAAGACACTCAGCCTGGGGTTGTGTCCATCTGGGCAGACAGTGTGGACATTCAGGTAAGCATGCATGTGGCCTTGTGAAAAGTGATGGTCACATGGAGAGTGGCTATGTGGAAGTAGAGATAACCCCCAACCTTTTTGGTAAACAATACCAGATACTTAGGACCT